CTCATCCTTACTATCGTCATTTGTCCTCTACTTCTTTTGTATGTTTGTCGCTCTCTAGTGAACTGCTATTTCCGGGGTGCCTTGATAGTCGAAGCAGACTTTGTGCTGTTGAAGCTAGAGAGGTGAGCAGGGTAAGTCTGATTCCCTGTAAAGACTTCTCTGTTGACATCCACCCCTTGACGCTCATATGACCTTATGCAGTTGCGAGCACCGTAAAAAAAAACTTCATTAAAATTAAAAACTATCTCGCTTTGCAGCGATGGTGTCTGTCGTTCTTGCTGTTCCCAACCATGTTGTCAACCTGTCTAGTATATTTTCCATATGTCTGCCTCTGCCTCTCGTTCCATCAAACTCACCTGTTATTACAATATTATTTTCATTGTGTCGATAGTGCCGTAAAACATCTACCCAATCAATCAAAAAACAATATTATTTTCCAATGCTTCTTTCCCCATTGTGTGTCCAATGAATTTTGCCTGTCACTCTCGTATATTCGTCGAAAGTTTTCGTCTGCAATTTGCGTCAACCAAGACTTCATTTGTTTTACTATTTCTCAGATTACAACAATAGTTAAAGTTTTGTTTGAGAGAACGAAACAAATTGAGCGTAATTCGTTCACAGATGGTGGAAGACTATTACATGTAGTGGGTTTGTTGTTCCAATTACTCAGAATTTATTGTTACATTCGGGAAATGTAGAGTGAATATGTTGTACTGCTAATGAATATTCAAGGTTAACAGCAGATCTAACGTTTGTAGCATATTGCAGGGTTTTCTGCTTCGACGTTGTCCGTCAGGATATTGTTTTGGATGTTAAACATCAGCGGCGGATTTGTTTGTCATGTTATGCGTTAAAAATGTGTCGTTTTGGAAAAAAATGATCTTTTTCTGAAGTTGTTTTGTTGTTTTTTTGTGTTCTGTTTTTTGCTTTGTTTTTTCGTGGGTGGTTGGCGGGTGCTCTGGTGTGGTTTGCTCCTTCTTTCCTATCAAACATCTATCGTCCTTATCTCTCCTCCTTCTTTTTTATGTTTGTTACTCTCTTGTAACACCTCTAATCTTCTGGCGCTCATATGACCTTATGCAGTTGCGAGCGCCGTAAAACCTCCACTAAAACAAAGAAAAGCTTTGTTTTTCTTGTGTTCAATTCCAACATTACGTCGTTTTGAACTCAGCCAACCTGGTGCAGTCGCCAGTGAAACAAACCAAATGAAAGTACTTTGAGCTTCAAGTCCAATTAGTGGGATCAGACATTTCTGCCACCCCTGGGGTAGTGCCACTGACTGTAGTATCTTTAGGCCATTCCCAAATAGGGGGGGGCATTTCTCGTAAAAGCACAGTAGAATCGTAAATGGGCTGATTCATCATGTCACTATTGTCACGCTCATAACTGTGCCTGATCTACAACAGAGAACTGCTGCTTTTTCTTTCCTATTCCTTACTATTGTCAGTTTTCCTCTACTTCTTTTGTATGTTTGTCACTCTCTTGTGACCCGCTATTTTTGGGGTGCCTTGATAGTCGAAGCAGACCTTGTGCTGTTGAAGCTAGAGAGGTGAGCAGAGTAAGTATGATTCCCTGTAAGGACTTCTCTGTTGACATCCACCCCTTGGCGCTAATATGACCTTATGCAGTTGCGAGCGCCGTAAAACCCTCTACTATACAAAAAAAAAAGACATTTCTGCGTCTTGTGGTATAACAAAATCCAATTTGCTAAACCCATTATCGGTGCCTGGAGGCTTGAGCTGGCCTTTAGAATCGATCTGTTCAATAGTTTGTATCACATACACGAGCAGACTTTGTGTTGTTTCATATGACCTTATGCAGTTGCGAGCGCCGTAAAACCTTACTAAAACTTAAAACACGACCTAGTTCGCTGTCACTTGAAGAGGACCCGGGCTCGATTCCCATCTTGGAGAATACTTATGGAATACCTGGGTCTGTCTGCTGGGACGTTGTATCCTTGTTAGAGATATCTTATGGAGCACCTGGGTCGGTCTGCTTGGACGTTGTATCCTTCTCAGCCCGGGTTGTCCCTCACAGGCAGAGTCTAAGCTTGTCTCCGAAATAAACAAGAGCGCGTCAATGGGGACCTAACACACACACACACACACACACACACACACACACACACACACACACACACACACACACACACACACATGCACACACACACACTCGCATGTATTTTAAAAATGCCCCAAAACACCGATACCATGATCTACCTGACCTTCAGCCAGACTCTAGCGGTGACTACGGCCTTGACCTAGATTTGAGTATTGTCACAATACTATGCCTGCCCGGTTGGACGGTTAAAAATTCGTGGCACAACTTATCGTCAAAAATTTTCTAAACTATGGATCATAAAGTCTACAGATTTTGCACATTGATAGGTCAATTTGTGTTAACAGATCAATATTTTTTTTAACACCCGTTAGCTGTATTCTAGAAAATTTTTCATTAAATACTAATTAAAAATCCCAGTGGGTGGTTTCTACAGATTTCAAAAGGTTTACAGCCAGGACAATAAAAGCAAGTCTGTCATTTTTTTTTCTAATCGCGACATAATAATATTTGCTGAACGCATGCTTTGAAAATGTTTAGTGCAAAAAAGAGTATTCACCATCAAATTAATTTCTTGTAGCAGTTTTTTCCACTAAATAGTGTCATTGTTGAGATATGACGTAGGCCATCGTATGCAAAATGAATGTGAGGAGCGGGAAGTACTGCGAACAATTCCTTTTTCCGCGTGACGGAGATTTAGATCTATAATATTTCAAAACAAAATTATGAAGAAGAGTTTTAAAATTTAGTCTCAAATGTTGTGAAAAAGTATGATTAAGTTAAGACAAATTGATACAAACTGTCGTGAAAAGTGTGGGTGATAATGAATCAATCGTTAAAGAGATATTTGAGGATAAGTTGCCTCATGAATTGTTCCCACACTCCAGGCGCTACTTCCAACAAACACGCACCCTTGCTCCACTTGGCAACGCCTCCTCATACTGTTTGCGTACACGAGTGGACACACGAAGTAATAAGCTAGATCTCCACTGAGTCTCGTTAACGATAGGGCGGGGTTTAGCAAACAGCAGCCCAGTTGATTCTTAGAGCTAGGGAGGAAATTGAATGGCTGTTTGGCGTCCAGATGATAATATCATTACTCTAGCTTTTGTTACTAAATGCTGTTGTTAACGTTGTAAAACTCTTACCAAACCAAACCAACTTGATTTCAGGAACTGTATCAACTCTTTCTAGGCCATACGCCAAAAAATGTTCAACATCGCTGTTTCTTTTCGCGGCGGCTTTTTGAGTTTTTGTTGGAGGGGTTTTTGTAAGTGTTTTACGGCGCTCTCAATTGCATAAGGTCATATGAGCGTGCGGGAAACATTAAACCTTTTTTCAATCGGGTAGGAAATTTTGAATTTTGCCCGGGTGGCGGCGAAGCCTACTCTTATCGATTTTAAACCACCAATGGATCTCTAAGTTACTTCAACGTGCGCAACATGCACACGGGACCTCCAAGTTGTTTCTCCATTGTCCTAGAAAGCTAGGTGTAGATCATGCCTACCAGAAGATCAGGGGTGTAACTGAAAGACATAAGTAATGAGGCAAGGAGTAGCAGTAGAGAGGGGGGAAAGAAGGTGACGGGGTGGGGGCAGAAAGAGGAGATGAAAGCAGACGACAGAACAATGCTAGAGAACAGGAAAGGAGGTTAAAGGAGACAATTTTAGAGAGAAATTGTTTCGGTCGCTATCCTGATTCGAACCCGGGACCTTTGAATGAGGGGCGAACAGCTTAACGTCTAGACCAGGAGAGCCCCCTTTCGCGGTGTGAAGATGTGCTGATAGATTGTAGCACGAACAGATTTAAGAAGGTACTGTGTGCATTGTCGATCGCCCGCATAATATGCCCAAACTTCCCTGCCTTCATCCCATCACTTATAAACCACCCTGATGTACTCACACACCCGTACAACAATTTGTAAATCATAAAATAATAACGGGACACACCGTCATACAGGGTTCTTTATACAATCTTTTATTTCTTTTATTTTGGGGCTTGAAAAAATGAGCTTTGGGGGAGAAGGGAGGGGAAAAGGGGGGAGGGGAGGAGGAGGATGATCTGTTACGTCAGATTTTCTTCTCCTTCACAACACGACACAGGCACACAATTTTGTCTCCTCGCAAGCCAATCTTTCACCAGCCACTGATACGTTCTCTATGGTCAACTTTTTTCACACACGTGCAGAACATTTTGAAAAGGACAATCGGTGAGTCAGGAATTACATTGTACAACTAAATACAGTCCACACTGGACTGTGACTGGGGAACGGGAGGGGGAGGGGGGGTGATAGGGGAGGGGGTGATAGGGGAGGGGGTGATAGGGGAGGGGGAGGGATGTTGGAGGGGGAAGGGGGAAGGGGTGGGGGAGGGGGCGGGGGAGGAGCTGGCAGAAGATGCATAGAGGTTGTCTTTTCAAGGCTTACTGTGAGAGAGTTGAGGGGTTTTTTTTATTCTAATAATTCAAATTGGCGCATTTCTACTAATTATACTTCCGATTTTTTAGCACCGTTTTCTTCTTCAAATTAACAAGCTACCTTATCATGGAGAACAGAGTTGATGATTCATGTATCTAGCTATTTCTTAGGGAACGGATGAGAATGTTCTCTGTGGAAGTTCTCCAGAATGGACACCAATACCGTACCGTGCCGACAATTGCACTGACTGTCTACCCCGATCGCTATTTTAGAATTACAAAGTTTTATCTGACATTTTTGGCCATTTTCAGTTACCACGGCCAGAAACCAAATGTTCTATCGGCGTGATTAAAGTCCTATAAGATTATTCGGAGTCGTTATCAAAATATTAAAAGGATTGTATTTTTTAAGCGTAACGGTACATATGTCTTTGTTCTGAAACTCAAAATTCGTTGATGCGTGTCAAAGCTTGACTTGTGAAATTCAAAATAAAATAGGTCGCTTTTAAGAACAAGGGGGCTATCCTGAAAAATGGTGCTTTGAGAAAATCGAAGTTAAAGTTTTTGCCCTTTGTTCAGCTACTTTAAAAGAAAAGGAGAGTTTTCTCTTTAACCAGACAAATATACACACAAATGAAACCAAACTTCTCCTATAAGCAAGGCAATGCCCACTTTTGGTGCAGGTCAAGATTTCCGGAAACCCCCAAATCTGGGTCAGCCCGCTTGTCCTTATTAGCGACCATATTTTACATGACATTTCGCCCAACTGGGCAGTGAGCAGACAGAGCTGTGTGATTCTAGGGCAGTGCCTTATGTCTCTGTCAGCCTATCTGTCCCCGTCGTTTTATGCAAGAAAAATTTTGAAATTATGAAAACTGGGCCCAAAAATGTGAAATTATGCGATTCTGTTAAGGTTAACAAAGAATGATAAGGGAAAATAATCAGAAATTAGGCACAAAAAATGATGAAATTTTGCTAGATTATGCGGAGTGCATAAAACCACGGGGACAGTCCTTTGGCAAGGGTCACTCGGCGCATATGGCGTACAGTACGGCCGTGGCGTAGAGAGAGAGAGAGTCACTCGGCGTATATGGCGTACAGTACGGCCGTGGCGTAGAGAGAGAGAGTCACTCGGCGTATATGGCGTAGAGTACGGCCGTGGCGTAGAGGGAGGAGTTGTGGAAGCTGTGCTGGGCGAAGGTGTCGGTGGAGGGAGTCCAAAGACAGCGGCTAGCCACACACAGGGCGCTGTGACCCACGGGGCCGATTGACACCAGGCACACGTACTTATAGCGGGCTGGGCCCTGGTCGCGGGCTTTTCTCTTCACCTGACGGGGAG